CATGTAATTTGAACAACAACTCTATGAGTAATTGTTATTTCCATTTTAGTGATGAGAAAACTGAGGCTGAGAGAAAGTGACTCACAATCGTATCCATTTTCTTTTACTCTGCTATTTTCCTTGAGAATATTAATTTCAGTATTTTGTGTAAAAGCAGGATATAAAATTACACATACAGGCTGCAATTATACAAAAAAACAAAAATTAAGAAAAAGAATATAACTAAATTCTAATAAATTGTGGTTTGCAGATGTAGGGTAAGGGATGCTTTTTTCCTTATTCCTAGTTTTCTGTGTTTTTCGTAATACACATGATTGCTTTTATATTGTCACCAGCAATAATGACAGCTGCAAAAACATAAGGCATGTGTTGTTTTACAAAGGAAAACTGCTTTAGTTTCTTGGGCTACCAACATTCTTCTAGTAAGGTAGAAGGCTTTTAAGAAATTTATGGAGACAAAAGACTGTTTAATATTTTAAAGGCTTGTTTAGTCAAATAAAACCTATCATGAAAAATTTGCCATAGACTCTTAGAGTTTCTTTTTGGACTATGTTACACAATTCCCCCACCAGTTGTATTGCTGGGGGAAAAATACGTTAGAGTAACTCAACTGAAAATAAAACTGGTAGCCCGATCTATAAAATATTCTATATAACCCTGCATCCTGTGGAAAGCAAATATTTGAGTTGAATGTGTTTATTCATATGATAGTCCTTTACCAACATTTTATTTTTTGCTTCCAAAATACCAAAAGACCTAATCAATTCCTTTGAAATATCCAGTCAATATAGAGATATTTTATCTACACAGTGCCAAACACCCTGATTGGCTGAATGAAATCTTTTAACATTGTGCAAGTGCAGCTGAAATGTGACAAACGGATCATTTAAACCCTGTCTCCTTGATATGAACACAACTATTTGAAAAGAAAAGATTTAGTCAGTCAGAGAATTCTTCTGTCTATACAACCCCAAGCCATTGGTTTGAGTAATTTACTTAATTGAATTTACCAAGCATTTAGTTCGTTTCCTAAAATATAATTAAATTTCTGAATGATAGGGAAAAAAAGAAAGATTCCGGCCTGGGTTTTCTGCATAGGGGATATAAGTTAAAAACAAACAAACAAAAAACTCACATTTGTCCCTTTTGAGAACTGCATATAAATGCTCTTTTATTTCCTTTTTAAATGTAGGTTTTTTTAGGCTACGTACATTTGACTTTAATAACTTGGTTAGAAAGACCTGGCCCAGATAGAATATTTATGAAAAAGTAAATTAAGGGCCGGCTGAGTGGCTCAGCTGGTTAAGAGCTCACTTGGGAGCACCAGCTCTGTGCAATAGGGCCGCGGTTCGGATCCCACATTGAGGGCCAGTGACGCTCGCCCTCTATAGCTAAGATGATGAACAACAGCTCAACCTGGAGCTGGGCTGCTGTGAGTCACCGGCGATGGTGTAGGCTGCAGTGGGGCTGCAGTGGGCTACCATGAGCTACTTGAGTGGCTGGCAGCCAGCGTGAGTGGCTGGCAGCCAGTGTGAGCTGCCAAGAGCCGCTGTGAGTGGCCAACCAATGACCAGCAACCAATTGCCTCACCCAGGAAGAGTGCAATGATCATACCTACATGGCCAGTGAAGCTATGTCCTCCACAACTAGACTGAATAACAACAACAACAACAAAAAAAAGTAAATTAAACTTGTTTGAAAGGAAAACAAATATCAGAGAAAACATTAAAATAAAAGTCTGTGGGTTATAAGAGGTGGAGGTTTCAATCCTTCAAAAACTTAAGGAAAGAACAATTTCAGAAGAGGAAAAACCCAGATAAAGAGCCATTGATTTCAGACAAAACTGACTCCCCTTCATGGCTCTGATTCCTGTTTATCAGGGGCACCACCGTCTTTCCAGACTCAGACTCTGGTGCCATATGGAATTGTCCTCTCTGCATCCTTCATATCTAATATGTTCACATCTCACCCTTTCTTCCTTTGAAACATCTTTCTGGTTCACACCTTACTTTAAATTTTCCTGATAGAAAATCTTATGACGTCATGCCTGAATCACTTTCACCAACTTCCAGGGTAGTCTTTCTGCCACCAGCCTCTCACTCTTCAAGTCTGCCTTGTCTACAGCTGTCAGATTTATCATCCCCAAACACCACTGTCCTCACATCGGCTTCTGCTCCCCACTCACACTCTTTGTTACTTCTGCACTAAGTTCGAACTCCTTTCTCTGCCTGGTAGTTGGCATTCTTCACAGCCTTCTCTCTCTCTCTCTCTCTCTCTCTCTCTCTCTCTCTCTCTCTCTCTNCACACACACACACACACACACACACACACTTCTATCAATCTAATGGTACTCTTTACCTCTCCTCCAAATCCATCGTTCATCTTGATCAACCAAGTCCCACCATCCCATAAAAATCCTACCCTACGTGCCCTTCCTTACCCCTTCTCCAAACCCATGCCATCCTCATCCCAGCCACATCCTTTCTGTGTGGAGAGCTGTCCTTCCTGAGTTTTACTTTCCAAATGATCCCCCTCCTTCTAGAGCCTTCTCAAATGCCACCTCATCCATGAAGCCTCCTCAGACCCCCTAGCCCCATAATTGCCTTTGTTTTCTCTAAACTCCCATCCTATGTATAATCAAGGCTGAATGTGTGTCCTAGTACTTAAATACACTTCTATTGATTTATATGTCATCCCGTGTTTCTCAATGAGGGTGTTATTGGCATTTGTCACAGGACGTGTAAACATGCAGGACTGCCTTGTGTTTCAGGACATTTGGCATCCCTGGCTCCTGAGGCTAACTGACAGTTAAGTAGCATTATTGTGACACCTCAAATGCTTTGCATACTTTTCTGAATGCCCTAATTATTAAAACATTCCTTAAAGAAGTTACTACATCATAGACACACCTGTTCAACAAATAATCTTTGTTTAAAAGGCAAATGTAGATGTCTAAGAATAAATCTGCATTTCCCTTACAGTTGCCAGCCTATTAAAAACCTAGGAAGGAGGCTAATTAATGCTCAGGTGTTAATCAGCCCCCCCCATTTTAGGTGTCTTTCATAAGCTAAAACCCTTATGACAACCCTGGGTATTGCTATTCATCCTCATTTTGCAAATGAGGTCAGACAGGTCTGCTTATCCAAGATTGTACAGGTTGATTCGAACCCTGGCATTTAAACTCAGGATTGCTTGCAGCCCATATCTTGGCCTCTTCTTCTACCACACAGCCTCTATACAGACAGCCTACCTCTAACAGCCTTGAAATAAGAGTGTGAACATGTAACACGATGAGCAATTTAAAGCACGTTATTAATGCTGATAGGTACTAATGACTACAATTGAAAGGAAGGACATTAGACCAGACAAACAATGTTTTAGAATATATAACAAGAATATAAACTGGAATCGAATGAATGAATTTACTCACTGACCTTCTTGCTGCAGACATTAACCCTTGTTTTGTCTCTAATTGAGATGCACACATTCTTTACTTTCTTATTGTATTTGCTAATATTTGTCTTGGCAGGTGGTCAACAGTTCTCTCTAAATTCTCCTTAATCAAGTTTTGGGTAATAGATAGCCAGATGTGCCTTGTATTAGGTAGCACTGCTAGACCCAAAGAAATAGAAATCTAAGAGCTGGGCAACAGTTGCTCAGGTCTATCATCTAGGTACCTTTAATAATAAATGTATAAATCAAGCATCACAATATTGTCTAAAATGTTGTAAATATTTCTTTTCAGTTACAGTTCATCATTATTCATTTCATGTATATCTAAAACACATACATTTATTAGTAGCTTATGTCACTTGTGCCCAAACGTCCAGTTACAATCCTTCACATATCAGCTAATCTAGAGTTTAGGGAGTGATAGCTTGGATGATCCATATGCAAACTTTCAAAGGTACACGCAGTTTCTATCTATGCACACAGGAAATATTGTATTCTCTACACACACACACACACACACACACACACACACACACACACACACACCATCAACCCATTTGAAAGAGCCAGTATTGTTCAAGTTTTCTTTTTCAGCTATGAGACTAAATGTTTACAACGTGCTTATTTTGTTTAGCAAAGATGGGAAAGAAACTGAAAGCTAAGCTCATAAGTAACTTAGAACAATTGTGTGAATATGGATAAATGTGTATGTGATATAAAAGTATTTTATCCTTGTATTATCTTATAAACCATATCTACTATAACAAAGTTGCACTTCATTCACTAGTAAAACCTCAATTCAACTGTAACCACATGAGCATTCAGGTGATCTGAAAGCATCAAGGGATTTTTAGTTATGCTTAGAAGGAAAAACAGACATTTAAATAGTTCAATCATTTTTTGTAACAAGTTGAACTTGATGTTAGCCTTGTGATTAGCACATTTCCTGAGCAAGGTGAATTTTTAGCTTCTGCATGCTGGGACAGTTTGTAGGGACCTGGGGGAAAGGGTGATAGAATCTTTCCCCACTCAGACTAAAGAAAAAAGTCCAGGAACCCCTCTCAGTTATGTGTCTCGGTGGTGAGAAACTATAGAATGGTAAGAAAAGTTTCCTTATTGCTTGGACTCATCTTTTCTCAAACTATCTTGTCAAATCTTTGTCGTGCAATAGAATTCTTTAAAAAGATCCAGCTGCTCCTCACAGAAGCCAGAAATGGTCTAAATAGTTTGATAACATTTCCCAGAGAGGCACAAACATTTTAAAGGTGGAGTTTTAGAGTTTCTGTTTATATTTTCTTATATTTTAAAAACGCTTGAACTGATACCCTGCTGATGTGCTGTAGCAACATTTCCCCATCTATTTTTAGATCTCCAGTTAGTTGCTTTAGAGATGAATTTAATATGTAAAGCAGAAGCTTACACTGTGAAATGTTTGCATGACTATATTTTGGTTTTGCCATCAGCTAAGTAGGGCAAAGTTCATGCCCTCTCACAAGGAGCCCTATCCCACCTTTCTTCTGGGGACCCGGACATTCAGGTGTGCTTACCTGCTTCCTTGAAGATACTGTGCTATTAAAACATCTATTAGAGGTCTTGGAATTCAAATTTTTGTTCTGATGAGTTGAGTCACTTTTCCACATCTTAGAGTTTTCTTTAGGATCCGAAGGAATGGGATTTAAGAAGAGGATCCTAGCTATGAAACCATAAAGGACCGTGGCCAGGATCATCGGCACAACATAAAAGACAGTCAAGTCCATTAGGTAAATAGGTGAGTAGTAATTTCTGGAGATCTTGTAGCCACAGGACACCACGATAGCATCTTTGTAGGTGCTAATATTCAGATCCAGCAAGAAGAACCAGAGCATACAGTAAATGGATGTGAAAGCCCAGACAAAGATGATGATCTTTTTGGCTCTGGAAAATGTGCAGAGAAACTGGGCTTTGATGGGGTGACAGATAGCAATGTACCTCTCAATGGTAAAGGCTGTGATTGAACATGAGGAGGCATTGATGCCCAGATACTGGAGGTACGTGATGCAGAGGCAACCGACATAGCCGTAGACCCAGGACCCGTAGATGCTGTCTGTTATGTTGGGTAGGCCTGCGGCCACCAGGACCATGAGGTCGGCTACTGCCAGGCTCACCAGGTAGCAGTTTGTGGGCGTCCTCATGTGCTTGGTTCTCATGACCACCAGGACCACCATGATATTGCCCACGATGCCCAGACCGCAGATAATGAGCACAAGTAAGATGGTGACCACTTGGTATTCTAGGGCCACCACTGCTCGCGGCTGAAGCTGCGTTTGGTTCAGTTCACTTACTGTCTCGTTCTCCATCTTTCGTGGCAGCAGAAGTTTATCTGAAACACTTCTCAAAACATCTTCTTTCCAGGGCCCTGCCTTTATCAGCGTGCCTCTCTCCCCCTGTGAAGAGGCATAGTCCATATTCATTCATACTGTCACCATTTCGGATCAAGTCACCGTTACTGCCAGGTACCTCTCACCTCCGCCCCTTTCACCTCCCATTTTTTTTTCTGCAAGAATAGGGCTCATGCATATTTCTGAAAACTCCTTTTATTGCAACTCTAGTGTAGGATGGAGTCACTGTTTTGATTAGCGTACAGTGAGAGGGGCCAGTTTCCTCTTGGAGAGAAATGCTGAAGAAACCAGGAACAGAAAAAGCTGCCTGCTTTGAAAGAGTGCCCAATGGGGAAAAACTAAACAGTATCTGTTCTCTGAAAACCAAATGCAAAGAAGCCTCTCTGATGCTTGGGAAAAGTATAAATAAGGTAAAAGCACTGGGGGTAGGGAAGCCAAGGGGCTCAGTGATCAAGCCTGGTAGGAAATCAACACGTGCCCCCCTGTACTCTCAGAGGGTGAGATCCCTTTGCTACAAAACAGCATGCCTTTGAGCCTTTACCTCCCAGAGCCCCCGGCCCTGCCTACCCCATAGAGCACAGTTTCTTCTCTTACCTTTTTCTCTGTAGCACTGCCTTCTTCTCTGGGTGGACGAAGCAGTAATAAGCCCAAGTTTCCAATCCCGCAGCAAATCTCATCTACTTTGTCTGACAGAGAGACCACTTAGCAGTCAATGCTCAGTCTTCAAAACTGCAGTTCCTCTAAACCCTCGCAGCCCTTTTCAACTGATGGCAAACCATACAGCCGCAGCAGAAGCAGCAGCAGTGAGCTGTCAAATCATAGATCGTCCCCTAATGAGAACACACGGGCTCTCGCGC